TTCCATCATCCTGGAGCCCATTCTCGATTGTTGCACTGATCAAGTGGGATTTCAGTGACCACCACTCCCGAAATGCGATGGGAAAAAAGCCACACCTTTCCAAGACAAAGCTAAACGCCACATTTCACACTTGATTAATCATGAAAATTTTTATACCTCACTATATATTGTTTAAACACTTTCTCGATGTACAAGTTCCAAAGTCCAATCCGGTCAGTAACGTGTATCGTGCCCATGAGTCATTTTTACAAATAAATTCTTAAGAGTTTTTCTACTGAGGTTTCGCTAGCTTACAACTGATGCGCCCCCGACCCTCGTCGGGATAGAGGGATCGAACTGTTATAGGGGTATTCGAATGAGAAAAGCAACAACACAAATGGATGTTAATCTTGTGAATGAGGCTCAAACCACCACGCGTTTGGAGGAATAGCTTTAACGAAAACTAGGGTGCCGCACGAGTTCGATCACTACTTGTTTGCGAACTGAAACAGTATCTATAGAATAGGAAGATCGGTTCAACCAAACAATGAATAGAGCGATTGTGTATCAAAAACGACACTCGATCTCGATGTGGGAATGAACCACACACAGACAGACAGAGAGACACACACAGATATATATATATATATTTGATAATAAGTAGTATGTGAATGACTGGACAAAATTTCCCTGGAAGCACACGACCGGTTTCGCGGTTCTTGCCGCTCGTCGGGCATGTGTATCCGGTAATCTTTTATCAGTTCATTCATTCATATATATATATATATATATATTATATGTATATATATTCGCTACTCGTGTTCTGTCAATGTCACGTTGGGAATTATCTGTGAATTATGAAACCGCAAAGAAAAGCTGGTCGTGAAGGAGCTGAATCGTTATTTGTGCTTTCAAACCAGACTTGTAGAAGCGAAAGCAGCCATCAGTTTTCTGAACAAGTGCACCGATTTAAACGAGTATCCCCAGAGCTACCGGAAATCTCTAAGACGCGCCCGAATCAGACCGGACTCAGTAACGATCAAACGCCACGCGAGAAACCAGCTGGATACCCTAAGAACGAATTTACAGCAATTGGAGCGTAATAGAGTGCAAAGAAGATGTATCATCGACCAATTAAGCAGCGAAGATAGAAACCAATTCGAGCAGTTTGCTGAGCGCCTTTGCACCAAGCGAGCTAACATGAAACGGGCTAAACTGAAAGAGAATGTGAACCAAACGAAACCGAGGACCAATCTGCCCACAAATCCAGAGCGGTATGTTCACAATCTTTCCAGTTTACCTATGGATACGCATCTGTCGGAAGTTATATCGTTAGGGTTAAACTTCTGTCGTACATCTCGTAACTAGAGGTTGAAGTTCAGTTCGAAAATCTATATTCACAAACGAGCTCTTTAGTGGCCACAAACCAGCAACCAATTCATGATTTCAAAACTCCACTAGTAGACTGTGCTTATCAGTATCGTCGGGTGTATAAGTCACATAAAAGTATCCTAAGCAGCCAAAACAAGGAGTCACTAAGAAAAATGAAACTGATCAAGAATATTGTCATTGGTAAATCTGACAAATACTCCGGTGTGGTACTGTTGGACCGTGCGAACCATATTAATAAGATAAATAACATCTTGGGAGACATGACGAAATTCGTAAAAGTAAAAGGAGAGAGGAATAAAACGAACACGGTAGGAGAAAAGATAACTGCTTCACTTAAGTTCCGGAAGAAGCAGAATATCATCTATAAAGCAGCATACGAACAGCTGAGACCAATAGGAACCTCTATCCCTCGTCTTTACGGTTTACCTGAAGTTCATAAACAGGGCGTACTTCTAAGACCTATTTTGGACATGAGCGCTTCTCCTTACCAGTCGATTGTCCAATGGCTTGCGGATGTTTTGGAACCTGTACGCAGATAGATTTCACTCTATTCTGAAGAATACATTCCAATTTGTGGAACTTATACGCACGACCGCTTTGTCTATAGCATCATTAGATGTGACATCGTTGTTCACCAATGTTCCTTTGGGAAAAACAATAAACTATTTATGTGAATACATCAAGAACAAAGAGATAAACATCGGTATTCCATTGACTAACTTCAAGGAGTTACTACTACGCTGTTTCAACGGAGAATTGTACAGGCAAACGAACGGAGTTGCAATGGGATCACCTCTGGACCCACTTTTGACTGACATATTCGTCGCAGAATTAGAGAAACAGGAACTCCGAGATACCATAGAAAACTTGTCATTTTATTGCCGTTACGTTGCAGATATTTTCATATAAGTTGACGAGAATATAGCGGTGCAAACACTGACCAGCACGTATAACCAAGCCCACGACGCGCTCAATTTTATGTCGGATATGGAAACGGCCAACTCATTCCATTTTCTGGATGTTCATCTTACCAAGTGCACGGACAGAACAATTAGTACAGCAGTCTACAGAAAACCCACACGGACAGGACAATTCACCAGTTTTGTACCTTTGAGGCGTAAGTGAAAGCTCATCTGATCCATAGCTGCTCGCGCTAGAAATATATGTTCAGCAGAAAACCTGGAGTCAGAATTGAACCGGCTCAGGCAAACACTAATGGACAATGGCTATCCCGAGAGATTTATTGAAAAGAATCTATGTGAAAGAGACAAAAAAGACCAACGGTGACTACAGTAAGCCAAAAGCCAATCTATATACGTCTCCCGTTCATCTACAACATACCTCGAAACCCTCCGACAGTGGCATCTTGCGACAGCAGAGGCAGAAGCAATAAAGTTATTGCGACCAACAAAACAAAAACAATTTGTTAAAGCCCTACAGCTGGTCCAGACCCGACACTGAACGTCAATTCACTCATGACCCCTTGACCTAAGTGTGTGTGACCTCGCCTTTCCTGTTTCATCCCTTTTTCCCTCCCTCTCCTTTCTCTGTTTTCACGATTCCCTATTCTTAACCACGGATTAACAAATTTTGTTTTCACGTCTTTCCCAACCACTCCTCACCACTCATACGCCGTCCAATTAACTCAGATTTTTTCTGACATTATTTGTTGCATGTTTGTTTTCTAAATGTATATAACTGTATTAGCCAGAGGATGAAGTTATCGAAAAGGAGCTTGTTCGCTACTCGTGTTGTTTTATCAATATATATATACATATATATATATATAGAGAGAGAGAGAGGTGGCTGTCTAGAGTGGCGGCTAGTCACCCTTTCCTTGCATCTTGCCAACTGCTCTCATAAGACCAAGCGTCTTATATAGTCTCCTCTGAGGAGGCTCTACCCACTGCCTGCTCGTGGCGGAGGTGTTTCCCTACCGGGTTGGTGGACCACTGATAGTTCACCAAGGGGAGCTGGTCAAAAACCCTGATTCCAGCCAAGAGAAGACCTACGAACCACAAACACACCTTTCCGGTTGTGAAAATGGTCACCGGTTCAATTGGGAATCGAGGTGTACTGGGCACCACGGACTCTTAACCCCGTCCGAAAGGCGTATGATCCGATGAACTAGACACCGGCTCTCAATGGACTGCGGTTCTCACACTGCCCCTCTGTTTTGGGGGTCAGGCTTTGGCTAGCCGAAGGCTTCGGTTTTGGATTCCTTAAA